CCTATGGAAGGCCTCACCATCCAGGGGGAGCAGAAAGGATATATAAAGGTAGGATTTTAGTTGGTTGGGGGGGTTGGTAGGGGAGGACGGGAGGGAGAAGGGAACTGGGATTGTAATGTAAAACAATCCTGTTTCTAATTCAAATAAAAAAAATCTGAAAAAAAGGGAAGAAAAGTGCCAATAAAAATAGAGGGTTTTGAGAGTGAGGAACTTGCCTCCCAAGTTCCTGTCTCAGACATGTTAGGGTTTATAGTGGGAATGTGAAAAAATGCTTATGAAAGGACCATCATACAGAAATATAACCCTTTTCCAGAGGTTTTCTGTATGGCACTTGTTACCTCTTCACACAGGTAAACAGGCATTGATATTGTGTATAACATATGTAGCCAGGAAGGTTGTGTTAGAATTAACATAGTGGTAAGTTGAATTAATCTGAGACACACATATTTATAAGGAACCTTTAAATAAATTATTTTTTAAAGTAACGCCTCCCTGAATATATCCATTTAGTGCAGTGGTTCTCAGTCTTCCTAGTGCTAGAACCCTCATGTCAAGGTGGCCCCCCACCATAAAATTATTTCATTGCTACTTTAGAACTGTGTTTTGCTACTGTAATGAGGTTGTGACCCACAGGTTGAGAACTGCTGACTTGAATTTGTAATTTGATTTTGCCCAGATTTACTGAAAATAAAACTTCTATGTTTTCAAAGTGTACAGTGTGGTGGTGTAGCATAAAGACTGTGAAGTGAGCACCACCATAAGTTGATTAGTGTACCCCCTGTCTTAAAGTGGCAACAGTTCCTTATAAATTTGACTTTTTTTTTAAGTTGTTGGGAGACATCACTTTATATAAAAGGGTTTGTATCACAATTTGTGAGTAAATACATATTTAGTATTGACACAAATTTAAATTGTATGTGTGCATATCAATTTGCACATGCATATTTTTCACCAACACATAGGTAGGTATACATACTTTCTCTGCATATTTGTATTTATTAATATAATTTAATTCTATTTTCATTTACTTAATAGTACCCATGTCTTTAGAATAATAAAATATATTTTAGTTTTATTTATAAAACTTAATTAAAATATAAATGACATTTTTCTATGTATTTTTCCTTTGAGAGAAATAATTTATTATTATTATTTATTATTGTGTAAAAAGAAAAAATTACATACCAATCCCAGTTCCCTCTCTCTCCCATCCTGCCATGCCCTCCCACTGACCTCCCATTCCACCCCATTTAGTTATCAGATAATTGTAATGGACATAATTTTTTATTACATGAAAATGAGTCTTTCTAAGAAACAAAATGTAAGACCACAAAAGAATTTAGCATCACATATGAGAGACTAGTAAGTCTTTGGTTTATATGCCCTTAATCCCAGTACTCAGGAAATAGAGGCATGTGGTTTTGGATGATTGGAAGACTAGTGTGGTCTACTTAGTGAGTTCCAGGGTTACATAAAGACACACACACACACACACAAGGCTATTGCTGTTTAAAATGTTCAAGACAGATGCAATGTTACAGTGTTATAAATTTGACTTTTAATAATGTCATGCCAGCAATGATATGACTATCATTGGTTAAAACATTATATTATTATGTACAAATCCATATGGGACATTCACAGTTTTTTTTTTTTGACAGCTTTTTCTACGTGTATAATCTTTGTAGCCTAAGAAAAATAATACAACTCAGACCAATAAAGATTTAGAAGACATAGTTGATGGCATTAGATAAGAAGTGTTTTTGAAATTTCTGGCCATATTAAAGAGCTCTGCTGTCTTTAATAATTGCATTATCTTAATAAGATGGTATAAGAGATCAATCGTGGAGTTCCTCAGTAGAAGTGGTATCTGTAGGTTCACCAGGCTTATTGTGACTGAATTCTCTGCTGCTTTCTTCTCTGAGCAGTTGCTAGTTAAACAAAGATGCTCAGAATCTTTGGAATTAACATGCTGTGTGTGTCCGGCCACTTCAGGTTTTCGTGCTCTCTAGACAGTGCCTTCCTTCAAGGAATGTTTAATAGAGAGGTCTATTAAAGTTTTATTTATTATACTTAATATAAAAGTAGAATGAAGATATGTTTAAATTACTACAGAATATGTAAATGAAATAATTTGGAGTATACTATAAATCGATTTCCTTATTAATTTAGAAATCCTAAAAGCATGTAATTACAATTTAAGATGTGTCCAAACATATCATGATGAAGAAAATATTAGCAATATCTTGTCTTACTATTCCTAGATTATTTGAAAAATAATGGCTTTATTAACAGGAAGGAAGGAAAGAAGGAGGGAGGGAGAACTACAAATAGGTTGATCTTATTTTAGAGATACGCTCTTGCTCTTGCCCAAACTGACTTCCAACTTACAATCCTGCCTCCGTCTTTCAAGCACTGGAATTTCAGTAATGTACCACCTAATCCTGCTGTTGTGTTGTTTGTTTAAGATATAAAATGTGTGAGCCCATCAGTTTCTTATACAACATATAACTGAGATGCAGAACCCTGTGTAGATATTGCTGGCATGAGTTAGAACAATATATTGTCATGCAGATATCCTTGCAGGATATTAATAGTGTTTTCATGACTTTTTTAGTGTGCTTATAATCTCTGTAATAGAGGAAGCAATGTGACAAAATGCTATTAGTTTACCCACTGCTTGAAGGAAATTTTAAAATTTTAAAGAAGTCATGATGTCTAAAATTCTATCACTTCAGTTTGACAAGAGAGTGTATGTATATATTTTTCTGACAATATAATTAAATGAAGTGTTGCAAATAAACTGATTTTTTTGTACCTGTATAGAGTATATGACAAAGCTTTCCCAAATTCTATATTTTAGCTCCTCTGGTTTTTAGGGCGAACATGGGGACAGCTCTGACCATTGGGACGATGCTGGCTTATGCTCAGTTTTCCTGGTGGACAGGTGACTATGAACTGGAACAGAATTGTGGCCAGTCACTAGGATGAAATTTAAATGAGTGTTTTTTTTTTCCTTCTCTCACTATTAGGCTATCAGCTGCAGAGGTCAGCACAGCATATCCTACACTTTGTCAAGGAGCCAGACTGTGGTGGTGGAGTACACACATGATAAAGACACGGACATGTTTCAGGTAATGCTTCTTTTTTTAATGGAAACTAATCCATTTTCCTTTACTTGTGTGTTTTGACATGCAACCAGAACATCTGCCATAGTGACATTCAGTCATGCCCAGGGGAAAGAGGTGTGGATAACATAAAAATCACTTCCATTCTAAAGGGTAAAAGGAAATTATACAACCATGTCCTCAGATAATTTTGATTCTTTGCTTGCTTGTTTTTGAGGTTGGATTTTAATTACAGCATTTCTCCCTTCCCTTTCCTCCCTCCAAACCCTCCCACATGCTCACCCCCACTTTCCTTCAAATTCATTTTTCCTCATCAACCTTAATACAATAAAAATTGGTATTAACAATAGGCAAAAAAGTAAAGCCATTCTCTTTTAAAACAAAAATAATAGAAAAGTTTTTAAATAACACAAATCAGACAAGACATAAAAATATTAGAGGTTCCCAGAAATAATTGAAACAGTGTATGGAAAAATTCATGTGATGTGACCAACACCTTAACTCCCTTCTAGAAAATGTAAAGCCGAAGTGCTTTCAGAATTAAGTCGTAAAACAATAAAGAGTGACGGTTAAATTACTAAATGCTTATCTCAAAAAGCTCTTCTGACCTTAAGAAGGTATAGGATGAGGGTAGGAAGAGTTGATGGCATATTATAGAGTCTAGAAATAAACGAAACAAAAGCAGAAGAGAGAAGAAAACATCAGTTAATGAAGCTGAAGTAAAGCATTAGAAAATGCATCCAAGATTCAATACTTAAGAAACGGAGAATTTTAATGTGGACTCATAAAGACAGAAGGCAGAGGTGAGCCCTACACTTGTGTATAGGGAGGGAAACCATGGACAGAGTGAGTGCAGGATGAAGAAACAGACCCTGCAGCAAAGCTGAGATGATTTCGTGTGTTAGAATGGGAAGGTTTAGTTAGCAGACAAAGCAGTGGGATTTGTTTTTCACAGCATAGCTTCTTTAAGTGGGGACTTGAGACATCAAATCCAGATGCCGAAGGCTGATCCCCTTCCTGCATTAACCATCTCCCCAGACTTTACAAAAGGAGCTAGAGCAAAACAGGGATAGGTGTCAGAAAGAGAACCACAAATAGCAATAGCTGTATTTTGCAATTGTTAAATAAGGATTAGCTCATGGCAGTGTACTCCTTACTGTTGTTAGTTGGAAACACAGCACCGAACACCTTGTGTGGAAATGGCCTCTGAACAACACTCTAAGTCAGAGCAGCATGTCCACAGGGCAGCATTGCAGCAGCACTAGTGATGTAAACCATTTATTTATTTATGCATAAACTAGTAGCTATACATAGACTATATAACTACTAGTCTATGCATAAGTAATTAGGGAATATGAAGCATGACTTAACCACAAAGATACATTTCCTAACAAAAAACGAGCGGTAAGTACACACTTCAGCATGAGTAGAGTGAGTAGTAGGTAGACCAGAAAGACCCATGGTGCACATGAGCTTCAACAGCTCTGACTAGCAGAAGAGCCAGCCTACGTCAGAACTGTCTTCTTTCTCTTAAACTGTCCTCAACATTTTCGGGAAGTATTTAATTGTCTTTCTAGCTATGTGATTAAAAATTAAGATCAAAATTGCTGTAAGTAGCCATCTGAGGAAGAAAACTGTCTCAGAACACTATAAAATTCTAAATGATTAAATGTTCAAGGATTTTTTAAAGTTATCATTGTATAAATTGCTCACATTAAAACACACAAATCCTTGGGGGCTGGAAAGATAGCTCAGTGGTTAAGAGCCCTGGCTGCCCTTCCAGAGGCCTGATTTCAGTTCCCAGCAACCACATGGTGGCTCACAAATATCTCCAGGCATCTGATGCCCTCTTCTGGTGTGCAGACATGCATGCAAGTAGAGCACTCATATATATAAAGTAAATAAATAAATCTTAAAAAAAATAAGAAAAAAAAAGAAGGAAATAAAGAAGCTCTCAACAAGAGAGGAAACCAAAGGAAGAGGCCAATGCCTTGCAGTGCTCCTTAGATGAGACAAAGTACCAGGTGCATGCTGAGCATGATAGCACTTAATTAGCAGCAATTTAGTTAAAGAAAAACATTAATAATACCTACATTTTAAGAGCCCCAAGACTGGAACAGGGGCAAGCAGGAAGGAAGTGAGGGGAGATAAACAGGTGTGTAGAGTAAGACATTGTTACTTGCAAAGAAGGTGCTAGATAAATAGAGTCCCTGTATATGATGATGATAACTTGAGCCATGAAGGGGAAAATGGAAGGACCTGAAGGGTGCATGGAAGCTACAAAGACAAGGTTATACAGAGAAACCATGTGGACAAGGAGCAAAGTGAAGACTTAAGGACAGTTTTTGGGTTTGAGTTTTAGATGGAACAAATTGTATGGCAGCCATTGTCATCCAGAGAGGGGCTTGAGGGTCTAAGCTTTGTTGAGATCATGTCACACCAGAGATGCTCACTAGGCATAGGGTGGATTGGATGTGCTAGCTTGTAGCTTGGAGAAGAGTCAGCACTTTTGGCTAGTGAGCTAGATTTAGTAGGATTATCTTGCAGGGTTTTAGCCCAGCCACAGAAGGCTGAGCATAGGGCACTGCTAGCCCCATTCCCCAGCCTTCCAGAATCCTGGAGACAATCAGATGCAGCAGGGAGTCTAGTCAAGCAGGAACTCATTTATTGTCCCACAGCAAGCATCTTTTCAAGCAAAAAAACCACAGAGTGGGAAAACAGCCAGCCAGTGGTTTTAAAGGTCAGCCTATCACTCGTCTAGGTGCCCTATGCTTTACCTAGTGAACACGAGCTGTTCATGCAGTGATCTCATCTGGTTCAATCTAGGCAACCAATCTTCCTTTTTTGTCAACAACTCAGGACTCGCCCATCTGACTTCCCCTCAGCACCATCTTTGACTACATTATCTGAGAGGGGGAGGTGGGCTGGAAGTATTTGCAGGATGAATACCAGGGGTAGATGTGATCAGGCTTGCAGCCTGGGGTTAGCAGTCTGCTGATCCCAGGAGAGGGAGGGTTAGGAAGTCTGATGGCCTGGGCTGAGAAGGGAAGTTGATCAGATGGGTGATCTAAGTTGATCAGATGGGTTGATCTAAGGCCTGTTACTGGTAGGCGAGAGCTGATGGCTGCAGCAGACAGGAGAGCTTTCCTAAGGCAGCCATCCAGTGGGGTCTGTGCTTGTGGCAGTGGTAGGTCCCAAGAGCAGCCACTGAAACTTCTATAGCAGTTCAACATGGCACTACAGTTCAAGGTGCTCTAGAATGTGCAAGATCCAAAATGAAGGAGCAAGTGAAGAGTTGGGGGAGACAGTCAAGAGCAAATCTGCAGGAAAAGACACCATTGGGGTACAGGGTATCTCCCGATGCCTCCTAGATAGAAACAGCCATGGTTCTGTGTGATAGAAAACAAAGTGAGAAAATGACTGTATATAGAGGGAGGGAAAGGAGACATGAGAAAGGCCTTTGTGCCTCTTGTGCACCCTCTTCTTGGGCTCCACTGGCATTCAGCAAATGGACTTTATTATGTATAAAGTTTCAAGTATGGTGAGTGAAGTTCTCACTACATCTATTTTCTGAATGCCAGCATTCTATGAATAGCAGATGAATTTAGAAGCATCTTGGCTTGTGTACCACTTAACTGTCAAATGAAATGTAGAGGCATCTCAGCTTGTCTACACGACTGCCTGTAAGAGAATGTGGAGCCGATCCAACTGAAGAAAGGACAGGCTGCAGGTTCCCACACCAACCCGGTTTACAATAAGAAAGGGGCTCAATTTTCTTTAATGTGTCTTAAAGGAGGAAATCTTATTAACCCTCCAGAGGTGGGATGCAAATGGAGGGGAAGTGATAAGTCAAATATGGCCAGCCAGATAAGAGCATGGCTTAAAATAATTGATCCTAACAAGATGTTCCACTTGGAATAAAATTTCAAGTTTTAAATCGTGAGACACGAGTTTAGTGTAAAATCACCATGCGGCACTCCTAGAGGGAGGGAAGTCATTGCTGTGGGTGGGAAGTGGGTCTCAATGGCAGATCACTTGCCTAGCCTTCTCAGAGTTGTGTGTAGCATCTCAGATAGCTGTCTTTTAGCTTACAACCATGTGTGCCGTCCTGTCTTTTTTTAAGACTCATGGGCATGGGACACAGGCTTCATTCAGGTTTTGTGACGTGAGCAGGGAAATACAGGCTTCTCACATTTATTTTACTCCTAGACATCATTTGGAATAAAAGTTTAGGGTGAGGTATGATGCTGGGTTGAAGAAGCCTTATTTTCTCCTTTTTATGTTTCTCTATTTATCAAATATTTGCAGCATCTGCAGCCTTACTTTAAAAAAAAAATGAAAGCTTTAGAAAAGAAACTTAGAGCTTGCCCCTATAAGATCATCACAAAGTCAAGCTAGTCATTCCTGCTTAGGTGGGGGAGGGGCTGACAAGGCCCCACCCTAGCTGAGGAGCTGCTGACATGATGGCTACTGGGGAAGGGAGAGTGCATTTGGTTTGAGGTTGTGGACACTCGTAGGTGGACTATGCCCTACACCAATGCACATGTGGGCAGCACTAACTGGACTCAGGTTTAAAGGGAAAAAAATTAAGAACAAGTTGAGAGGGGGATTTGGAGAGGATTCCAGGAGAGGTGGAATGAGGAATAGGGAGTGGGTATGATCAAAACATATTGTATACATGTATAAAAATCTCAAATAGTATGTAAAATACATATTTTTAAAAGGAAAGGAGATGTGCTTCCATTCTGTGCTTTTGTGCATTTTTATTTTGAGCTGTGCATATATAAAACTTATTTTTAATTTATTACTAAGTAATTTCAAGTTAAAATCCTGACTTTGTCAGTTGAGCTAAGTTACACAGCCATCTTGAAAAGGGATCCAACAGGGGAAGTTGTGCAACTTTAGAAAGATGATGTATATGGTATGGTTTTATGTTATCTCTAGTTTAGATTTTTGTGTTGCATTTTTAAGTAAGTTCTATGTTTTCTAAGACTGAGATGCATGCAGCTAAGCAGTATACATCTGCTGAGGTCAGTGAAGCCAGGAACTGTGTTTATTCCAGACACATTTCATTAGAACAAGGAATTAAGGGCCGTTAAAAAACAAAAGCAAATAGACGTGTTAACTTCTGGCTTTGTGGGGTAGTCTGTCCATGGGAGCGTACAGGAGACACTTGCAAAGGAAATCAATGGGCATTTCTGGGAAGCATGCAGAGCTGCATGATACATGATCTCTTCTTTTTACTGGTTTGAATTTTTTAAAAAACCATGTATTTCACATTGCTTATCTTTTCAGACAGAATTCACAATCAGAATAAAAACACCTTGGAAATTGATTTTCATGTCCTTCTGTGCATCCGTGTCAGGGCCCATGTGTTCCTCCCCCTGGCAGCTTCTGAAAGAACTGGTGTCTGTTTTCAGGCGAGGGCATTAGTGGCGTATTTAGGAAGGAACTCTTCATCTTCATGTAAATGGTTTGGGGGCTTCAGTATATAAATGTTTAATATCCCATCCTGAGGAATTTCTTATTCATAAGCAAATGTGTCTTCTAGTTCGCAGGGGGGAGCAGGGCCTGTTTAGTGGAATCTACTGAACAGGAAAGGTTGTAAAAACTCTATAGTAGGAGTGAAATACAGTTTCCTGGCAGCTTTGAAATCTCACCAAGGAAAGGAAGCCACTATAATATCAGTAGCAACTTTTAGACTTCCACAGAGAGGTTTCCTTATAATCCAGACACGAGGTGCTAAGACTAGCTTTTTAAATATTTCCTTCACTCACATTTTGGGCTTTGGGTTGACTTAGAGATGCCCCGGTGTTCTCCTCTGGTTCATTGAGCAGTGTTGACTGGTATTTTCCCCGCTGTCCCATGTAAGGGCTTTGTTTCCTCAGTGCTGCGAGTCATGGACTGACTGATTTAGGGAGTCCAGCAAGCAAAGAGTTCCTTTGTTTCTTCAAAAGTTCACTTCCTCTGAAAATAGAAAACAAAGAGCGATTTGCTATAAAAGTAGTATCTCCAATTGGAACCGAGAGAGAATCTAACATCATTCACCCAGAATAGAAAACCGAGCTTTCTTGTAATATTTAAAATTGGTGGACTAACAGTTATAAAGTTGCAGTTAAAATGAATAAGATCTAGCATTCTGCTATATACTGTTATATCTGTAGTATTGTGCATTTTTATGTACCCATCTCAGACTAGGGAGATAGCTCAATTGGTAAACTTCTTGCCTCTCAAGAATGAGGACCTAAGTTCAAGTCCCCAAACACACACACAGAGGCATACACACAGTCACACACACAGTCTCCAGGGGGATTAGTGTGTGCTAATAATTTCAGTGCTGAAGAGGTGGAAACAGGAGGCTTACTGAAGCCCAGTGAAGCCCAGGTTGTCTTCTGGCCTCTACTTGCATGTGGACTTGCAGTGCATACGAGCACAATGGTGGATTGGGGTAAGATCTCATTAACTGTTGTGGTACCATGATGAAATGAAACAGATTTTAAAGAGACCTTATGGTTGCATATTATAATTTCTCTGAGGCAGAAAGAAAGGGAAAACAATCGATGAAGCAAAGATAATGAAGTTGACAGGGTTCTGGACTCCTGGTCCTGTGAATATGACATGGAGCCTGATGTTTTTCATGTGAGTCATGAGAGTGTTTGGTTTATTCAGGTGGGCAGATCAACAGAAAGCCCTATCGACTTCGTGGTTACAGACACTGTTTCTGGCTGCCAGAACGATGATGCCCAGATCACACAGAGCACCATCTCTAGGTTTGCCTGCAGGATCGTGTGTGACAGGAGTGAGCCGTACACAGCACGCATATTCGCAGCTGGATTCGACTCTTCCAAGAACATATTTCTTGGAGTAAGTACTATGGAAATATTGTGGTTTCAAAATCCCACCCACTACTGTGATTGTACTTCAGTTTGTGAGGAAGTTGCTTTGTATGGAGGCTGTAGTTAGATGTTTGATGTTTTAGTTTTCAGAAGGATAGCCTGAGGAGATGGTGGTAAAAACCTGAGGATAATATGAAGCCAGGTCATGTGTACCCAGCACTCAGGAGGGAGAAGCTGAGGGTTCAAGGTCAGCCTATACTAAAGAGACCCTGTCTCAATAAAAAGAAAAAAGTCCGAAGATTACTTAGTTATTGTTGTACTTGCTGTATCAATTATAATGTATGCAATAATTATTTTTAAAGAAGTGCATATTAACATTACAATACATCTATGGTAATTTGAGAGGTTTATTTCAAAGGGAAAAGTAAATGGCCAAATTTAGACATTGGGAGCTTGGAGGAAATTGTTAGTGATGTGTTCATTGAAAGGTGGATGTTTGCTGTATTCCATACTGATGTGGTATGTGGTTATAGAAAGCAAAAAGCCCTGCCTTCATAGGGTATCTTGATAGACAAGCCCTATCTTAATACAAGTACCTTTTGATTCAGAATATTGCTACAGAGAGAAAATTGTCCACTGGGACCTAAAGGATAATAAAAATATAGTGTCCCATATGACAGGAAGTTCTGAGGAAGGCCAGTCTAGCACTGGTTGATGGGGTGGTCCCGTGACATCTTGGGCCTGGTTCTCTCTGTCTTGCCCACTGCTTCTCCAGATACACCAGCCACCAGGGGCTTGTAGGGAGGGGGAAGCCTGCTGCTGAGTGTGCGCCTGCTCCTCAGCTTCCTGACATCTGCTGAGTGGGGCAGCTCCCTGAGAGAGAGGAGGGAGGTAGCGAGGCTCTGTGCTTCTGTTACTTCTCAGGGCAAAGCCACTTCACCACAGGCCCATCCCTGCCCCCTCACCAGGGGCTGTTCCTATGGGCTTATATAGGGCAGAATTTTGATCCTTCCTGCCCTGCCACATGGACAAAACACGAGCTCTTCCAGGAAAGGCGAGGGGCATCCGAGCTGTGTAACAAGTAAGAAAGTCTGTCCCATCACTGCTGCCATTGCCTGGAGAAAGCAGTTTGCATGGGAACACACTGGCCCTCAAATTATTAGCATAATCTTTTAAGTTTGTACCTTTAATAAAAGTGCTTTTTAGAATATTATTTTTCCTTCTGTATCTAGGTATTGAGTGCATATGAAATATTTTTAGGTGCCTGGGTGAGAGCAGGCTTGGCATAGGTAGGGGATCTCAGAGTGAAGTATTCGGGTACTAGGTATGTCTAAACTCCTGTGGCTATAGAGATGAGCCATTAAGCTTCAAATAACTTAGCATCTCTCTGTTGTCGGAGCAGCACACTGATGTATGGTTATCAGCTTTAAATAGAAAAGGAAATCCCTTTTCTGTCTTCCATCCTTTCAGGGCTGGGGGTTCAAGATAGGATTTCTCTATGTAGCCCTGTAGCCCTGGCTGTCCTGAAACTAGCTATGTAGACCAGGCTGGCCTTGAATTCACAGAGATCACTTGCCTCTGCCTCCTGAGTGCTGGGATTAAAGGTGTGCGCCACCACTGCTTGGCTAGCTTTCCACTGTATTTTAAGGAGACTCTGGAGTCCCCTCTTTGAGTGCTACTCTAGCGTGCTTTTTCTGGTCTGTGGTGTTGTTCTCCAGGAAAAGGCAGCAAAATGGAAAAACCCAGATGGACACATGGATGGGCTCACTACCAATGGTGTTCTGGTGATGCACCCTCGAGGAGGCTTCACCCAGGAGTCCCAGCCTGGAGTCTGGCGAGAGATCTCTGTCTGTGGAGATGTGTACACCTTAAGAGAGACCAGGTCGGCCCAGCAGAGGGGAAAGCTGGTGAGTGGACACTGCTCTGGGAAATGTACCAAAGTGCAGACGCTTCATGGTGACCATCACTTCCCCACCCATGGAGCTTAGAACCTTTGTGCAGGGTGGAGTGTGCCATTCTCTGACCCAGAAACAGCATTCTGTAATGTCCAGATTCAGAGGGCTGTGATTGCCCTCCTTATAGCTGGCCATTCCTGTATGGAAGTCTGTTATTTTTCATCCTGTCTTAAGACTGAGATCATTTATTATATTTATCACTGAAAAATTCATCTTTTCCCTTAATACTTTACTAAGTCAGAAAAATCCTAAGCAGTGGGAGACAGTGAGTGAAATTTTTATATTAAAGAAAGATTTAGATTTTTTAAAACTAGGAAATAACCAAGTTGGCGTTCCCCCCCACCACCCTAGTTTTGTAGTTAGAAATTAATAGGGCTCTAGGTATTGCTCAGCAGCTTTCCTTGAAGTCCTGTGCCACGTTGGCATGCTGACATCTTTCCATGTATTCCATTGCCAAGCCTTAAAACAGGTGCTTCTGTCGCTCTTTTGGGTCATAAGTGGATCTGTGGTTTCTGGCCTTGCGGTAGCCTGTGGGACAGGCCCTGGAGGACTTAGTCACCTTTCACTCCTACTTTATTGCATAGAAGCCAGAAGTAAGGAACAGGGGCTCTTTTCTAGATTATACAAAAGAAGGAATTTCCCAGACAGCCATACACGGGGGTAGAGGGTGTGTGTCTGTGAGCTGCAGAGAACCAGATGTTTCTAGGATGGAGAAAGAACTCAGAACCTGGTGAACAGTTGGCTGTCCTACACCTGAGGCTTCTTCTAGGGAGTCCTTTTCTGTTTCACACCCCCTAGGGACAGGCGAGGCCCCTTCATCTTACAATAAGGCCGCCTTGTCTCCGTGTCTCTAATGAATACACAGGAAAAGCATTTTCTGAGAAAGGTCAGGCCAAGTCTGTTTTACTTAAATATTTCTCACATTATAAATAGATTGTGAGAACAATTTCTTTACAAAAATGTTTCTGATGATCCGGTAGTTTTACACAAGACTGGCCTAGATGAACTGGCTTGTGATTAATCATTACAGCCTTGGGAGAAGAAGACACAGGGGGTGCAGGCGTTGCATTAGTGTTCCTTACCAAAGTTCGCTCATCCCTGCACCACAGCCCTGTAAAGGAAGCAGAATCACCCCCACCTGATCTAGGAAGGCAGGCAGCACAGAAAAGTGAAGTTCTCCCCTGATTTACAGAGTTAGAAGGTGGCCAAAGGTGGCCACAGCTGAGATTCCAACTCGGTTCATGAGTTCCACTCAGTGCTGTATCACAGGTCTGGGTGAGTGGGTTCACACTTGAGCGTTTGCCTACCTTTGTGAATAGAAGCCATACACTGAGCTGGGCACTGTAGCCCCTGCCTCTAATTAGTATCTGGAGTAGAGGCAGGCATATTGTGAGTTCTGGGTCTGACTGGGCTGCATTGTGAGACCCTGTCTCAGAAACCAAAGGGTGGGAAGACAGCTCAGTAAACAGCTTTTACCTAACCTGTGCAAGGCCCCACACTCAATCCCCTGTAGAAAAAAAAAATAATAAGTAAAGCTATCCTGAGGCCCATGGCAAGATGGTCCTGTGTCACCAGGTGAGTTTCTTATCTCTCTGGACAGCTTAGGCAGCAGTGTGTGCTATCATAGATTTTTGCTAAGGTCGCTAAAAAAGTACGGCTCCAAAAATGGCTTGTATTGGTGGTGGTAGTGTGTGGGTATGTGTGTCTATATATGTGTGTACATGTTCACATGTGCACATGGAGACGGCAGGACAGCCACTGGTATTGTTCCTCAGGCACTGCCTGCCCATTTTAGACAGGGCCTTGCCCAGTAAGCTAAGATAGCTAGCCAGTGATTCCCAGGGACTCTATTGTCTCTTGAGAATACAAGGGCATAGCACCTCACCTGACTTTCTTACATGGCTTCTCCTGCTTGCAAGGCAAGTGCTTTTCAGACTGAACTACCTCCCACAGCCCAGGCAGACTCATTTTGAAATCAATGCCTATCAATAAAGTAACGTGTCTTAGATCTATATGTAATATGGGCATCTTTCTTCCTCAAATCAAGATCTCGGGACTATTGGGTCTACTACCTTGTCTGTCACCTCAGATACTCTTTGCCATGGTGCACCCACATTTTGCCTAAAGAAAGAACCTGTGCCAACTTCCCTGCACCCCTCCAGTCCATGTGATTAAGGGCTGGATGTGAACTAACGAAAGGCACACTGATTCTCTTGGCACCAAGACCTCCCACCCAGCCATCCAGCCTGGGCCTGGTGCCTCATGCTGTGACATCCTCCAGAGTTCCACAGCCGGTTCAGTTACCAAGGGTTCACTCCATGCTTAGGGTAATCACACCCCTCTGGTGTGTGATCTTATCGCCCTCTTGCTGGCTCCTGACATCTTTTCCAAATCTCTGTTGAGGAAAAAAATCCTTTCAGAACTCTTTTCTGACCTATTTTCATAAAAGTGACAGCAACCAACAGTGTTTACTGCATGCCAAACCTTCTAAGAATTCCATTTGTTTTAATTTAACCCTCACAGCCACCTTCTACATTCTAAAGAAAGGGAGAGTATGGGCCAATATGCTCCACTGACCACCTCAAGGCCACACAGTCAGGTTCATAACAGGCCAAAAGCCCTGGAGTCTCCTGTCAGCCACTGAGGGTCAGTAGCCAGCCTCACAGTGCTTCGTTGACCTCCCCTGGCTCTAGGCATGCCTGCCTCCCACTCCCAAAGAGTGCATTTCTATTTTGTTAGACTTGTTCTCTTCACACCTTCGTATACATCTGGCACAAGTAGAGGTGGGCTCTGAGCCCTGCTGCCAAGGCCTAACCCCACTGCTAGTCAGCTGGTAATCACCTGTGCAAGCACTTGGTGCGTGGCACAGACTGACGTCCTGTGAAAACAAAGGCTTTTCATGAAGGTCCACCTCTGGCCCTAGGGAAAATGGAGGAAGGCAGATAAAGGTGTGTGCAGCTAAGGGTTACCTGGAGCATTGGCACTGGTGAGGCACTGGCTCTGTCCAGGAGCATGGGTCTTAGGCAGCACATCCCTCATCCCTCATCAGGTATGTGGGTGTATGACCAACATAAAAAGTTAAATAAAAGTGTAATGTGCATGGGATTCTTAGAGTAACCACTGCACTAATCAAGCTTACAAGGCTCAGCTTTGTGCTCTGAGCGCTACACCCTGGACGTTAAGTGTATTGAGGTGTGGGGAGGGTGGATGACAATTCCCATGTCCTGTTTAGTCAGGTATGTTACTGCCCAGTGTCTTCTATTTTTCTTAAGGAAAGGATGTTGGGGTGCCTTTGCCCCCATAGTTTGCAGGATTTTGCTTTTAATGGTATATCTGTTGAACCTGTTGTAGGTGGAAAGTGAGACCAATGTCCTGCAAGACGGCTCCCTCATTGACCTATGTGGGGCCACTCTCCTCTGGAGAACAGCAGATGGCCTTTTTCACACTCCGACTCAGAAACACATTGAAGCCCTCAGGCAGGAGATCAATGCAGCCCGACCCCAGTGTCCTGTGGGCCTCAACACCCTGGCCTTCCCCAGCATCAATCGGAAGGAGGTGGTGGAAGAGAAACAGCCCTGGGCATACTTGAGCTGTGGCCATGTGCACGGCTACCACAACTGGGGCCATCGGAGTGACACGGAGGCCAATGAGAGGGAATGTCCCATGTGCAGGACTGTGGGCCCCTACGTCCCTCTGTGGCTGGGCTGTGAGGCAGGATTTTATGTTGATGCTGGACCCCCAACTCACGCCTTCACCCCCTGTGGACACGTGTGTTCAGAGAAGTCTGCAAAGTACTGGTCTCAGATCCCACTGCCTCACGGGACTCATGCGTTTCATGCCGCCTGTCCGTTCTGCGCCACACAGCTGGTTGGCGAACAGAACTGCATCAAATTGATTTTCCAAGGTCCAGTGGACTGACACCCTGGACAGCCATCAATGCATTATTAACAAGTTACTGTGAAGATTTTGCCACTAACTCTAGATTCTACCTTTTTGTAATGCTGTTTGTTAAGGGAAAGGCAGAGTGGGTTGGGAAAAGGGGTGGGTGGGGGGATCTGGTTATGAAACATGGCAGGAGTTGACAGAAACCACTGTGTTTTGCATGCTTGGAACAGCAGCAGCATCGTTGAGGTCTGCCTGGTTCAACCTTAATACCTGTGTAATAATTGGATTTCAACTACCATGCTTTTATTTTTAACTTCGGGTTTGTAACTGAGTTTTTCCTTTTTCTTTATAAACTTGGATAAGATTTTGCATCCTTTTTTACAAATGTAGAAGAAATGTATTCAACAGATGTCTCTCGGTGCACAGCCTGCAGTGTTGCATGGCACAGGTGTCACCCACAAGATGTGCAGTGGCTGGAAATACTTGACAGTGGCCAGAATTTGACCCAGTACCAAAGGGCCAGCTCTGCCGGCCCTTCCAGACGCACCCAGCAAACAGGAGGCATAGGCCACGCACCTGTTTTAAATCAACAGCTTTTTTTCCTCATTTATTTTTCTGGCTTTGGGTGGAAGGGACTGTCCGTATACTATTTTATTTTAACTTGAGCAGGGTTTATTTGCATACTAATTCATCAGATACTCTGCATGTCAAACAGATTTTTCCCATAGGTTTTTAGTCTGCCCTGTTGTTTTTGTTTAATATGGGTTGCCTTTCATCCTCATCTTACACGTCAAAAATGTTTGATTGATTGATTGATTGATTGATTGGAATCTAGCAGCTTTTTCGACATTCATGAGCAGCGGGTGGCAGTGGCTGCTGTAGACATGAGCTAAGGGGGGCTGTTGCAGCTGTGGGCATGTCCTGCGTACTCTAATACCAGCTTCATCTACATACCAGATTACTTAAGACCCAGAGAGATTTAAAATAGGATTTTACTTTTTAAAGCCACTTGTTGGCACTTCGTAGTATGGCTTCCTCCCTCTTCCTCGTCCATTTTTAGAAAGCTAAATTTTGTGAGCCCCAAAGCAACAAATGACAGTAAGAGAGTCATTTTTGTTCACTGCCTTCCCACCATCTGTCACCTTCCCTTCCAGGTTAAGGAGCCCCAGAAGTTCTGAAAATGTTTGCAAATCCAACTAAATTTCAATGTGATGAGTTAGATACACTGAGCACATCTGCAGAGCAAGGGGGTGTTCACTGAGAAATAATTACATCAGAATTTCATAAGAGTTGTGCTATCCCTCTCTGTTAGTTTCATTTTGTGTTGATTAATAATTCCTGAATGCTCATTTCCTATGTCTGGTGCCAGGAGTATTGTAGCTTTCAGAATGTAGAGACTGTTGGGCTTAGCTACATTCTACCCCTTCCCAGGGAGAAAGTCTGCAGTTAACCTAACATCGGTTTAAATGGACCGTCAACAGATTTGGGCTGCCTGGTTTAGCTTTTGTAAATAATGTATAATTTATGTGAGTCTGATATACTATGTCCATACTTGAATTGGTTTTTCCATATTTTGCCCATTTGCAGGTATTTGGCCTATTTTCAGCAAATTAAACTTATTTGAATACTTTTTCTTAAAAGCAAAAAGTATATTAATTACTCTTCAATGTTGCTGCTGTTTGACTAAAGTTTTAAAATAGTTTTATCTACCCATGGAGACCATTTTGAAGGTAGAGGGGTTTTGTTTTGTTTTGTTTTGTTTTAATTTTATTTGTGATTTGGAAATCCAGCAACAGTGTTCCCTCTGTTAGTTGCCTCTGTTCTACGTAGATTACCTACACGGAAGGAATGAAGGAAGAAAGGAAAAGAACTTTCTAGAAAAACCTATTGGATGCCATCTGAGTCATCCAGAGCCTCCAGCACTGGTTTTCAGTGAAGGATAAAGGGCTCACTGCTTCCTCCTCTTGTTACATGGAGATAGTTTGAGGATTCTTGATATCCTAGGATTATCTTCTGCAGTAAAGGGTGTTAGATCCAGAAAGGTTGAATTTCAACTATGAAAATACAAAAGCTTTTATTTTTCAAGTATATTCCACTGATACCAGACTTCTCTGTGTCAAGGATATATAAGTCTACTAGTTCTGTGCATGACACGTGCCCCTAAGTAAGGGAGCATCCGACCTTCAAAATCTATGGCATGGCAGACTCAGATAGCTCAAGCACAACTTGAAATTCCGGTAATAAACTGCAAGCTCTTTAGTGGCCGTAGGCCACCTTTACTGTTTCCTTTGGTTTCCCCATGAGGTTCTCCTTCCTTCCTGCCAGGGGACTAGCAGTGGTGTCACACCTGCAAAGGGAGCCATGCTGACTTGGACCACCTCTGATAAGATCACTTTGTGCTGAGGGAAGGATTTTCAAATCTGAAAGCAATTTAGTTTGTAAGAATAAAGGATTAGTTCATCCATGTAGAATGCTAAGAGTTGAGAAAAGGAAACTTCCCCAAGGTCACTTCTGTTTTCATGCTTGGCTTGTCATCACATTTAAAAAATGAATCCTAAACCACCCCCCCCCACATGTCCATAAATCACCAACCACTTGCCCTGGTCTCCAGCCTGACCAGTTTGCCTTTTGCAAATACGTTTCCATATGTAAAGCCCTAGTTACATGCTTCCATAGATAATAGGTTTTTTTTCAGTTCTTTGTGTCATTTTATTACAAAAAATAATCAGAGTGAATGGGACAGAGCTCTGAATATTTTTCTAGTGTTTGATTATTATTGATCGGTGCTGCTGGGTCATGCACACTGCAGCTGCCAACATTTCTCTAATTTCGTTCAGCTTTTTTGCAAAAAAGGCTACAGTTCACACTGCAGAGTATTAAGCTTTCTAGATCCCCCCCAACACACACACACACACAAACTTCTGTAGCCAGAGAGAATTAAAAATCTTTTAATATAAAGAGAGCATATTTATATCATTCCTCAATAGTTAATTATAGGGTTTGGTACCTTTGTGCCTCAGGGAAGCCACGTGATGTAACTGGTTATAGACTTTCAGGGTTAGGATGTAGAGAAAGGAGAAAGCCATTGGAAACTGTGATGGGCTCCATTGAGACAATTAACCTAGTACAGAAGTATGCCAGGACCGGCGTAATGTGATTGTAGTAGAATTTGTTTCCCAGGATTAGTAGGGAAATCATCTTAAGTTATTACATATGCTGTGTTAGGAGAGTTAAGAACTCTCCATCAAGCATCAACATCTCTTATTTTTGCTTACCAATCTCTGTTATTAGGAGCTCAGTGTTGATATTTGGACACTTTTAGGAGTTTAGGGGACATGTTTTCTTCTTAAGTGTACTAAAGGTTGTTGCGTGGTTTCACTCACCTTCTTTTCTCAGAACTGGTCTTTTCATTGGATGTGCACAAGAGGTGGACAGTTGTGCCGCTGACAGTGCTGTCTTCATGCAGTCTTGCCTCTCACAGTGAAGATGCAGACACACAGGCCCTAGGACCTTGATTTCAAGCCACATGTGGTTCTGTTCCCTTGGCTGTCAATCTCATGACCCCATAGTTCTGCCTTTGTGGACTAAGAGTCTGAAGCTCCTGCTATGGTGGTAGACACAGCTCCAGTCACTGCGTTAGGAGCCAAGGCCAATGAGATAACTTGAGAATATTTTTAGAAGACGCTAAACATTACTGAAGAGGTAAAACAAAGTTCTGTCTTGTCTTTATAGTAATATGTCCTCACAAGTGTCTGCCCTCCGACTCCCTAGTGAACAATAGAGAAAAACAAATATATTTTCCAGTTCAGCTTAATTTTCTAAACAAAAATCAACACACTGAAAGGGATGTTCTATCTTTTAAGCTGAGATCACAGATTGCTTCTCTGTATTAAATAATCTAGAAGTTAGGGGGCTGGTCATATTTACCATGTATAGTGTTATAAGCAGTTAATTTTTTTGGCTATATTTGTAAAATTTGTTCTTTTATATTTCATGTCAAATTGAAAAATTTATTTCTTCACTGTTGTACCTGTGGAAATACAAGCCATTTTACAGGGGGAAAAAAATCTTGAAAAGCTATTAAACAAATCTCACCATGTTTGTAAGTCGTCTTGGACTCTGTGTTAGCACCGTCTTCATCGGGACATACAATAGGATGTGGATAAAAAAAAAGGTAGACTTGATTTGTACATTTCCTGAACTTCCACATGAATCCCAAACAGACGGGTTTTTGTTGCTTTATATTCTGCACACTGCGTACTTAAGTCTATATTCTGAAAATTCCCCATTTTTTTTTATTAAAGAAACTCCATTGGTGCTCATATTACTATCTCTTGCGACATTTTATCAGTGTCAAATAAATGTAACTTGTAGGAGAATTTAATCTGGCTTGTAGAATTAATGGGTTTTCTTCATGATCATTATAATTGTATTACTACTTTTGTGGTAGCCTTAATTCCTTTTCAACAGCACAGTGTGGTGTGTAAGTTTTCAGTATTAAGCCAATGTGTCTATCATAAGACTATATTTTTACATTTGTAGTAGGTTTTGTTTTTTTCTAGACACATTGATATTCAGGGATTATTGCTATTGTTGAGGGAAGTAGATTTTTCATTTTTAAAAAAGAATGCAAACATAGCCTGTTATACAGGAGGCAAGTGATCTATTTTTATCAAATTTGAGATGTCATGAATTGTAAAATGTGTTTCTATAGTCATACAGCCAGTTATACTTGTAAGGTATATCCTACTCAGCAAGTGTGCTGGAGTTCATTCAGTATGGGAAGAATGGTGTTTTCAACAAATGGGTAGGGATATGTACATGCAAAAGAATGAAATTATGGCCTCTGTCTCAGACATTATACAATAATAATAATAACAGCTCCATGGGCCAAAGAGCAGAACTGTAGAACTTAGAAGAAAGCATAAACTCTGGTGTCTTTAAATTAGTCAGTGGTTTTTTAAATACTACCACTATGAAAAGCAAAAAGGAAGAATAATGAGCAAATTGGATTTCATCAAAATTAACAACTGATGTACAGAATGAAATTGTCATAAGTAGAAAGACAACACATAAAATGGGAGTTAATATATGGAGGCCACAGGTCTCCTGAGGACATTGAATCAAGTGTATGTTAAGAACTTCAACTTGTTGACAAGAACATGACCCCACCAAAAAAGGCCAAAGTTTTGTTCTGTTTTGTTTTTCCAAAGAAGCTACATAAATGTCCAATAAGCACATGAAACATGCACAACAGTATTAGCCATTGGAGAATGCAGATTAAAACTGCACAATTCTGCTTTGTGTCTCCTACGATAACTAAAAAAAAGACCATCACAGGACCTTTTCAAGAGGCTGGGACATGAGAACCCTCGTCCTCTTTTCTGGGTTAGGAAAATAATGCTTCTGCTTTGGGACAAGTAGTTTGCCTGTGCTTGTAATACTTGGATTAGTCAGAAGCTTGAAAGATGGGTAATGTATATCATTCAAAGTCTTTTTTTTATTAGTTCAAATTAGAAACAAGCTTGTTTCACATGTCAATCCCTTCTCCCTCTCCCTCCCCACACCCCCATCACTCCTCCCCCACTCCCGACCTACCCCCCACCCCATCCACCCTCCACTCCCCAGGCAGGGTAGGGCCCTCAACGGGGGCTGGGCAAAGTCCACCACACAGTAAGTCACAGAGTAAGAAGGAAAGAAAGACATATAGAATAAAGAAAAATAAAAGCCCAGAGGCAAAAGGTAGATGGGATAATTTAAGAAAAGCTGATTAGACATAAGCCAAACTGAGGCCAGGCATTTATAAATAAGAATATAACTCGGTGTATTTATTTGGGAGCTGGGTAATGCTCCCCCAAAAGAGTAAAGAATAAAAAAAATACCAATTATATGCATATGTAATGAAGATCTGTATTGTATTACTGATTTTTTACTATAAAATTGTGTGTGTGTGTGTATACTGCATGCATGTGAGTGTACAGATATATGCACCCTTGCTCGTGCAAATGGGGGCAAGAGTGGGATGCCAGGCACATTTCTCTGTCAGTCTTGAGCAGATTGCCTTGAGACAGGATCCCTCATTCAACCAGAAGAAGCTCACCATTTTGGCTAGGGCAGCTGGCCAATAAGTTCTCAGCATCTACTTGTCCCTGTCCTCTAATGTCATACCCTGTGTTTTGGTACTGAGGATTCAAATTCATGTTCTCATGCTTGCAGCACAAGTACTCTTTCCCACTGAGCCACCTTTCCAGCCCTCCTATTATATTCAACACTCTAGGGTACTTAGCTTGACTAGTAATTAAACTACCATAAATTTAAGTGTGTTGGAATGGAAAACTCTCTCTTGTCTTGAATAATCCGTGCTGTAGACTTTCTGTTCCCTGACCTCTAATCCAGTTCTTGCAGGTTGGATCATTGTCTTCCATTGCTTCTGTCTCTAACATGCCTATGCCACAGCTATTCATTTTCTATCATCTACCAATTTTTAAAATTTATTTTTGTATGACCACAGCACACATGTGCTAGTCAGAGGACAACTTGCAGGAGTTGGTTATCCCATTTGTGGCTTCCAGGGAATGAACTGAGGTGGTCAAGCTTAGCAGCAAGTGCCTTTATCCACTGAGCCATCTCAGTGGCCTTCTGCCCATGTTTTTGATGTTCCCAGTTGAATTGTGTGCCTCACCAATAGTAGTGACATTTGCTTTAAAACTTAGACTGTTAAGATAGTTAAGTAGTAAAGCGTTGCTTCATCTATGAAAATTAAATTGAACACTTTGAAAGGGTTCTAAATGAGTTCTTTTTTTCTTTTATTTATTGTTTTTCAAGACAGGGTTTCTCTGTAGCTTTGGAGCCTGTCCTGGAACTCACTCTGTAGTCCAGGCTGGCCTCAAACTCACAGAGATCCGCCTGCCTCTGCCTCCCGAGTGCTAGGATTAAAGGTGTGGGTACCACCACCTGGCTAAACAAGGGAGTTCTGTAGAATGTTTGGAAATGTGTAGATTATGTAATGTTTTTCTCGGTTTGTTCCTGACCGTTGGATTCTTACTCTTTATAGAAACTAAAAATCAGAAAAAAATCCCTCATGATCCAGGTGGTGGTGGCACACACCTTTAGTCCCAGCACTTGGGAAGCAGAGGCAGGCAGATCTCTGTGAGTTCGAGTCCAGCCTGGTCTACAAAGCTACACAGAGAAACCCTGTCTAGAAAAATAAAATAAAAAAACCTCATGAAAGTGGCTCATCCAAGAAAGGACAGTCAGGTCCCAAGGACCTCTACTGGAAAACAAAAAAAGGCTGGCCAGACCGCCAAAATGTTAGTGAGATGCTGCAGTAAAGGCAAATGTGTGTATTCTTTTTGTAAGTTTTGTGCTGTTCTAAGTACAGTAGACACAGTTTTTGCCATAGCTCAGATTAGGCTATTGTTCACCCAGGGGCAACTGTATCAAGACCTGCTTTCCCAGGGAAGGCAGACATTGGATTTGGTTTCCTGTACCTCCTTCACTAGTTCTATCAAAATATGCATGCACCATGTTCCAGGTATGATATCAGCCACTTGAGAAGATTTGTGGGAATGAGGTAGATATAGTTTGTGACCCAGATTACCTTCTCAGACTGATGAGAATCCAGACAAATAAAAACAAGCCTGATACTGTGGAAGAGCAGAAAAAGTGTGACTGCTCTGTGTCTGGAAGATGAGAGACTCTTCATTAGCACACCAATTATCTGAATTCATTTATCTTCCATATTCATCTTTTGGGTACAATTGAGTATAATTTTTCTTATTTTTGTCTAAATGCTTTTCAAATAAAAATATGTTTTTGAAAAGTCTTCCAAACTTTTGAAAAGTTTGGGCAATGCTGGTGTTAAAAATGGCTACTATACCATGTAGATGCCAATGTTACAGACATAGACACGGGGCCATGCCTCAGCACCATGCCCCTAACTGACTGCAGTACCCATGCTCCCAGGAAGCTCTGGTGCTATGAACTAAAATGTTGCATGACAGCTGTTACCACAATGATTAGCAAACATGCAACTGGGTCCCAACCCCGATCCCCCAATATTTGGTTGCATCTAGACCTTGGGTGGAGAAATACAGATGGTTTATTCTCCTGTAAAGGGACTATACTTGAATTTGCTCAGCAAGCCAGGAAGGTACTGATCGACCTTTACTGCCCTGAGTCAAGTCAGTATGCCAAGACCTTCAAGAAACATCTGACTTACTCACCAGGCCTCCTCCTAAACCATAATCCTTCTTCCCCAAGCATGGTGACAGTGACAGTGACAGTGACAGCTCTGCTCTTCTGAATGGCTTTCTACTTTTTACCCTTCTTCTCTGTTGGCATCTTGAAGAGAAATGGTCCATATACCAGAGTGAGCTTTCTGCCAGTCACCAAGATCTCAGTCACTTCCATTCCAGCTCTGTTTTTTGCTTGTTTGCTTGCTTGCTTCTTTTGAAACAGGGTCTCATGAATCCCAAAATGGCCTTGTATGATTCGGGATTCTCTAGAGAAACAGAACTGATAAAAATGAATCTATACATATGTAAAAATGTGATTTACTAGAGTGCCTTGCAAACCATGGTTTGACTATTCCAACAGTGGTTGTCTCCCAATGAAAAGTCCAAGAATCTAGTAGTTGTTTAGTCCATGAAGCTGGGTGTCTCAGTCGGTCATCAATATATGCTGGAATCCTGAAAGTGGACTCTAATAACAGTGAAGGAAATGACTTGCTAGTGAGAGTGAGGACATGCAGGTAATGAGCAAAATCTTCCTTCGTTCATGTCCCTTGTATAGGCTTCCACCAGAAGATGCCGGCTAGATTTAAGTTGGGTCTTCCCACCTCGAATGAGCCAATGAAGAAAATCCCTCACAGGTGTGCCCAGCTGCTTGGGTTTTAGTTAATTCCATATGTAGTCAAGTTGAACCAAGAATAGCCATCACAAGCTCAGACTCGAACTTGTCATCTACCTCCACCTTCCCAGTGCTAGATTTACAGGCACTGCAACAAACCATGTGCAGTTGATCAGTGCTTAGGGTTGAATCCCGGAATTCATGAATGCTAGGGAAGCACTCCACCAACCAAGCTGCTCTCCAGCCTCCCAGCTGT